CCCCCACCTCTCCCTGCTGTCCCCTTCAATATCTCCCATATTATGCAACAATCAGCCAGTGTGAGCTAAGCACACTGTCCACAGCTCACCTTCTCTGCGTAGACGGGCAGGTGCTGCATGGGGTTGACCACCAGCAGGTAGGGCCCCGAGTAGGTGTGGATGAGGTTGCTGGCGTAGCGCTGGCGCAGCGTGTGGAGGGCGCTCGACTCGTTCAGGTACCGGAGGGATGCCAGGTCCTCCGAACGGTCAAACTGAGGCGGGTTTGCCTGTGTGGAGAGGAGGAGAGAGAGCGTCAAAGCAAAACACTTGTCTGTAAATCGCACATCGAATAGGGTTAAAGAAAATAAAAAGGACCTAGTTGACAAAAAGAGAAAAAAAAGATGGGGAGAATTTAAGACGATGAAGGGGGAGGTGGAAGAGAAGGAGGAAGAGGAGGGAGGGGGGGTTTATCAAGAAAAAGAAAAGAGAAGCCAAAAAAAAATGTTTAAAGAGGAGGAAGAGGAGGAGGAGGAAAAAGATAACGAAATTGGAGGTGGAGGAGTTTAACCAAAAGAAAAAAAAAAAAAAAAGAAGAAAAAAAGTGATCATGTTAAAGGAGGAGGGGGAAGAGGAGGGGGAGCAGGAGGAGGAGGAAGAGAAGTTCTTGTAACCTATTTTTTTCAGATGGCAGCTTAAATTACTATTATGCACTTTAAAAAAATCCTTTTTGAAAATAACAAAAAAATTAAGAAGGAAATAACAAAATAGAATGAAATTAAAGTATTACAAGACGCACTTGGATATATTTATTCAAATAACAGCTCTATCTGGAAACTTCCAGAAATTGATTTGTGTGACCGTGGAATAACCCTGATGAAAATGATAAAGCACTATCTGCACCAGACTCAAGTACCATTTTGAGATATTATGGTAAAAATTTACTTTAACCCAAACTTACGTCACATTTTGACGTGCTGTAAGAAATTATTTCAGCTCAACGACTTTGAAATTTTGAGATGTGGGAAAATTTGTGTTAACCCAACTTAAATACACCTAATCTATAGAAGTGGTAAGAACTTATTTTAACCCAACTTGCGCCCTATTTTAAAATATTACAGTACGAAACTTCTCCCCACCCCACACATGTGATATTTCATGATGTGGCAAGACACATCTACGTATGACACTGTGCAGTAGGTAGGTACTGTTTACATACTGGTTGCCTACTATGATACTATGAATTCTCCCCCC